GTCTTGTCTTGGCCCTGATCTTGTCTAGGTCCTGGTCTAGTCTAAGTTCTGTTCTGGGCTTGGTTCGGATATTCCCTATAGGTCTGGCCATGGTCCAGGCATGGCCATGGTTTAGATCTTCCCTAGGTCCTGGTCTGGTCTTGGTTCAGGTCTGGTCTGGTCTAGGTTTTTCTCTTATCTAAGTCTTGCTCTTGTCTTGTTCCTACTTTTGTCTTTCTCCGGGTCTGACCAGACTGAGAACAGACTTAGACCAAACAGAGACAAGACTTAGATCGCAATTTGTTGATTTCTTTTTACTTTTTATAGACTCTTTCTGTTTAACAATTCATATTCAGAAAGTCAGGTCCCCCAGCTTTATGTCTGGTACACAAGGAACATTAAAAAGATTTATTGATGACTATTATTGTATTTTGAGACTGCGTAAGTAGATCATCAGATTTTTAATAATAAACAATTACTTCGGGAACAGTTTTATAATATTTATCATGGGAACAGCAGGGAATGATCGCCGCCTGGTGCAGTCTGGCTTTGGGGAAAGTCCCGTCTGTGAGAAAATTGGAAACATTTCGCCAAAGTTTAAACGATTCTCCGAACAGACTCTGGCGAGAAATCTACACAAACACCAGATCTCCTGGAGCAGTCGATTTGACGGCTTTAAGATTTCAGAGAATGTACGTGTTTGTTTCTATGTGCAGAGCTGGACAGAGGATAGAGAGAGAGACCAGAGAGAGAGAGAGAGGAACCAGAGAGAGAAAGACGAGAGAGAGAGGGACCAGAGAGAGAGAGAGACGAGACAGAGAGAGAGACCAGAGAGACAAGAGAGAGACCAGGAAGAGATCAGGCAGAGAGACACCAGACAGAGAGAGAGAGAGAGAGAGACCAGAGAGAGAAAGAGAGACACCAGACAGGGAGAGAGACCAGAGAGAGAGATCAGAGAGACAAGAGAGATCAGAGAGAGAGACAATAGAGAGGGACCAGACAGAGAGTATATATAATGTTTGTTTTTATGTGCAGTTTAGTATGTAGTCCTTACTCTTATGAATTTATCAAACGTGGATGACCTATTGTAAGGATGTGTGATAGCGTCAAGTTTGAGAGAGAAGGATTGCAACAGGGGCGGGGACAAGTATTAGTGCCAACGACTCCAGATGGGATCACAAACTACAAAACTCAAGTAGGTATTAACTAAATTACTTGAATCAGGTAATTCTATTACTTGATTCTGCTACTATTACTACTACTACTACTACTACTACTACTACTACTACTTCTTCAGAGTGTTTAGGAGATGCACATACGGAACACGGCCTCATGAGATGAGAGGAACATGGCAGCATGTCCACTGTCTGCTCAGTGTCTCTCTCTGGACTAACTCGTTTTAATGGATTTTTTACTGCTTTTAATTCTTTTTAAAGTTACAGTTTAATGTATTTTTTATTGAAACTTCTTCACAAGCTCTTGAGAATTGTGAATTGGAGCCCAGAGCAAACTGAGACAATGAAGATGTGTTGCTGAAAACGTGCTAGCTCGGAGGCTACCACGAGGGCACCACGTCATGAGCTTTTATTAAACCTACACAGACATGGAACGCGACACTGCAATAACCACAAACCCTATAAACGACATTAGTCGCCTCACATTGGAGTTTCGTGAGAGGGACCGTGCCACTATTGCAGACCTCCGTAAAGAAGTCCTTCGCCTCACTGCAGAACTACAGGAAAAACAATTACTCGTGTCCAAACTCTTTGATGTCGCTGGCGGGCAGCACTCACGACTTATGTCACTGAGCGCTGCATACTGTGACACTGTCGTGTGGGAGAGGTCTGTCAGCTCTGGACCCTCCTGTTCTACACCTAAGCGCCCGGTTCCGAATGAGGAACCCGCGAACTGCGAGGAGCCATCCAGCGCCGTGGCCCATGTCCTGAGCCTGTCAAACCGCTATGCAGCCCTCTCCGCTGACATCCCAGCCCCCTCAGCAGAACCTCTGGACTCTGCAGCGTACTCTGCCGTTCGTGGATCTAAGTCCACTGCGAGAAAAACGCTCCTAAAGGAAGCCGTCCTCAGACGAAAGAGTGGTCATTCCCCTTCTCTGACCCCAGTGCATCACCACCGCTTACCTTCACCGGGTCAACAGCAGCGACCCGAGCCTGCTCCTCACGCCGCTCCAGCGTCCCCGAGCACACAGCGTGGGTTGCCCGGAGCTGAGAATCAACACCCCCGCTCCCCTCCATGTGTTCAGCAGCGCCCTGGTTCGGACTCATCCCTGGATGAGCCCGCTGGTTCTGGCCATGGACACCGAGCGCCCTCTCCGCGGCTACGTCCACTCTTCGCCCCGACTACTCTGATTGTTGGAGATTCCATCGTGAGACACGTCCGCTTTTTTAACGCGGTCACTCAGTGTTTTCCCGGAGCTACTGTGCCAGACCTGCTCATACGTCTCCCTCCTCTGCTTCAGTCCCTGCCTGATACCATTTCAAAGGTAATCGTGCATGTGGGGATCAACGACATGAAGCTGCAGCAGTCCGAGGTCACAAAGAAGCATTTTATGGATCTATTCCGCCTCCTCCAGTCCTCCGGGTTGTGTGTTTTTATCTCTGATCCAGTCCCGACTGTAAACCGGGGAGACTGCTTGTACAGTCGCGTAGTGGCGTTGAACATGTGGCTCCAGTCTGCATGTAGCTCGTTTAACTTTATTTTTATGAATAACTTTGGCCTTTTCTGGAAGCGTCACGTGGCTTATCGTCCAGACGGTCTGCACCCAAATAGATATGGCACCAGCTTGTTGACGGATTACCTACGCCACGTTATTCAGTGTTCCCCGAGGGGGGCGTGACTGTTTACATCGGAGCCCCCACCACCACCACCACCCTCCTCCTTCTTCTCCTGCTCACCAGCACCGGGTGAGTACTGTGGTGCAAACACTGACCCCTTTCCGTCTGGCAGTGAAATAACAGTCTCGCCTCTGAACCGTGCTGCCTCCTGCTCTAAACAACGAAGCAATGCCGTCCTGAATCCGGGACTTACACAGCAAAAGAGTTCACATGTTAGACAAATAGAAACTGTGTGTGTTCCTCGCATCAGTTTCAAAAAATGTTTTTATTTGAATGGAAAACAAAATCATAACAGAAGGACAGCAGTTAGACATTCAAATCTAATTCCTGCTCCTTGTAAAAATCAATTAACTAAACCCACTGTTACTGATATTAATTTTAAAATTGCTATGCTTAATGTCAGATCACTGTGCAACAAATCATTTTTAATTAATAATTTTATCCGTTCTTATGATCTTGATTTTATGTTTCTGACTGAAACTTGGCTTGACCAGAGTACAGGTAATGCGGTTTTAATAGAAGCAACGCCACCAAACTTCAAATTTGAATCTGAAATACGAGAAAATAAAAGGGGGGGAGGCATTGCTGCATTATTTAGAGATCGTATTATCTCTCATAGAATTCTCCTTGGAAATGTTCTATCATTTGAGTATATTTCTTTTAAAATAGAACAAAAACAATCTCCTTCTATTCTTATCATTGTCCTATACAAGCCACCGCAGTCTTGTCACAATTTCTTTGATAATTTCACTGAGTTGCTTTCAGTTGTTTGCACCGATTTTGATAGTTTAGTGATTACAGGTGATTTTAATATTCATGTGGATAATGGCAATGACAAAAATGCAAAAGAGCTGAGTTCTGTACTTGAAACATTTGGTCTCACTCAGCACGTGAGTGGCCCCACCCACAGCAAAGGGCACACTCTAGACCTGCTGGTTACAAAGGGGGTTAATATTTTAAATGTAAATGTGGTTGACGTGGCTCTGTCAGATCACTTCTGTGTATTTTTTGACATGTGTTTTGATAGTAAACAACCATATATATCTGAATCTGCAATTGTCAGACACAGACACATAAATGAAAACACAACCGAACTATTCATGGGAATGATAAACTTTGAGAACACATTGTGTTCTACTGTTGACGAATTGTTTAACTCTGTCACCGCCAATGTTATAAATGTTCTGGACATCATCGCTCCTGTGAAGGTTAAAATGATTACAAATAAGCCAAAGGCCCCCTGGACTAAAATGGACTCAGTCATGGTACAGAAGAGAGAGTGCCGTAGGGCCGAGCGGAAGTGGCGAAAATCCAATCTCCAGGTTGATCATGATATCTTCAAAAATGAGTTGTGCAAGTTTAACAGGGTGCTACGTAGAACAAGAGAAATTTATTTTTCTAAAACCATTGATGGCTGCAATAATAATCTACGACTTATGTTTTCAACAGTTAACGGATTAACAAACCCCCCTGTTCAGCTGCCATTCGAATTTGCTTCAGAATCTAAATGTAATGAGTTTGCACAATTTTTCAATGACAAGGTTCAGAGCATCAAAAACGCCATCACCTCCAAGGCAGAAATAACATTACAACAGCCGGTGAGGCTGTTTGAGCTATCGCACTTTGCACCAACAGATAATGAAACTGTCCAAGATGTTGTCTCTAGCCTTAGTTCCTCCACATGTAGCCTGGATGTACTACCCACTAAATTTTTTAAGTCTGTTTTGAGCAGTCTTTTACCTTTGCTCACACAAATAGTGAACATGTCTTTCTCATCTGGAACATTTCCAATGGCCCTGAAAACGGCAGTCATCAGACCCCTCCTAAAAAAGAGGAGTCTAGATGCCACAGTTCTTAAGAATTATCGCCCCATTTCAAATCTGCCGTTTATGGGAAAAATTCTGGAAAAAGTTGCTTACCAACAACTTACAGAATTCTTAGTAACTAATAGTTTGTTTGATGCGCTCCAGTCCGGCTTTAGAGCCAATCACAGCACTGAGACTGCACTAGTGAAGGTTACAAATGACATCCGACTTAACACCGACACAGGAAAAGTCACAGTTTTAGTAATGTTGGATCTGAGTGCTGCGTTCGACACAGTCGACCACGAGATCCTCATGCAGAGACTAGAGCACTGGGTGGGTGTCACTGGGACTGCCCTAAGTTGGTTTAGGTCTTACCTAGAAGACAGGAAATACTTGGTTCAGATAGGAAACTGTGTCTCAGATCATATGGCTCTTGACCTGCGGAGTGCCACAGGGATCAATTCTGGGGCCTCTTCTGTTCAATATTTACATGCTGCCGTTAGGTCAGTTAATACGCTCCAACAATGTATCCTACCACAATTACGCTGATGACACTCAAATTTATGTCTCACTTACTGCAGGAGAACATGGACCAGTGGAATCACTCCTTCACTGTACTCAACAGATTAGTGATTGGATGCAAAATAACTTCCTTCAGCTAAACGCAGACAAAACAGAATTGATTGTCTTTGGTCCTCAGAAACAAAGAGAGAGCGTTATTCGTCACCTCCAGTCTCTCTCCCTGGAACCTGTAGGCAAGGTCAGAAACCTAGGAGTTATAATGGACTCAGACTTAAATTTTAACAGTCATATCAAATCAGTAACATCAGCAGCATTTTACCATCTGAAAAACATTGCCAAAATTAGAAACATAGTGTCTAAATCAGATCTGGAGATTCTCATCCATGCATTTGTCTCCAGTAGGTTAGACTACTGCAATGGCCTGCTCACAGGTCTCTCCAAACAGGCTGTAAAACAACTGCAGTATGTCCAAAATGCTGCAGCTCGAGTCCTGACCAGGACCAGGAAATATGACCACATTAGTCCAGTTCTCAGGTCTCTGCACTGGCTTCCTGTGGCTCAGAGAATAGACTTCAAAGCAGCACTGCTTGTGTACAAGTCTCTCCATGGCCTCGCACCAGGGTACTTAAGCGACTTGTTAGTCCCATATGAACCGGCCCGGACTCTGAGGAGCACAGGAGGTAGCCTCTTACTGGTTCCAAGAGTCAGAACTAAACATGGGGAGGCAGCGTTTGAGATTTATGGAGCTAAAATCTGGAACAATCTTCCTGAAGATGTGAGGCTAGCATCTACTCTGGAAATTTTTAAATCAGGGCTAAAAACTGTTCTTTTTAGCTGTGCATACGGCTGAAGGATTTTATTGATACATACTCTTTTTTTTTTTTTTTTTTTTTTTTTTTTTTTTTTAATGCATTGTGGTTATTTATTATTTTAATCCCGTGTGTGCTTTTAATATTTTTTTTTTCCATTACTTGTGATTTTATTCTGTTTTTAATGTATTTATTGATGTCTCTGATTTGTGTGATATTATGTGGGTTGTGAGGCGCTTTGAGTGGCCTTGTGTTGGAAAGGCGCCATACAAATAAAGTTGAAAGTTGAAAGTACTACTACTACTACTACTACTGCTGCTGCTGCTATTTCTGCAGCTCCAACTTCTTCTGCAACGGCTCCAACTCCTTCTCTCAGAGCGTGAGATGCTGCTGGTGCTTGTAACACTCAGAGTTACGTGTTCGTTAGATTAAACACTCGGAAACGGGTGTTTATAATAACGTCTCTCCTCAGACGTCTCCCTCGTCTTCCTCCTCCTCCTCACTAGACAAAATGAACCTCCACCACTAACTCTTGGACTCTGAGCTGACGCCAAAACCATCAGTACTGAAGCTTTAGGCCAAACACTCGCACACTAGCAGTAGTGGTAGTAGTAGTAGTAATGGTAGTAGTCATAGTAATGGTAGTAGTAGCAGCAGCAGATGCAGGAGTCACTCACCTACAACTTATCCATGTAGTAATAATTTGAGTTTATAATGACTCAAACATTGCATCAGTGCCTGATCTTCCACATAAGGGTTTCCCAGCCGAGGGAACCAGAGATCGAGAGACCAGAGAGAGAGACCAGAGAGAGACCAGAGTGAGATCAGGCAGACATACACCAGACAGAGAGACCAGATAAATACTATAGAGAACAGAGAGAGACCAGAGAAAGAAGACAGAGAGAGCGAGACCAGTCCCTGTGATAGTTTTTACAGTGCTCTTACCGCTGGGGTTGAATTGCATGCAGGATATGGGTTTGTCGTGGGCTGGGAAGTGAGCCACGACTCCCTCCCCGTCCGACTCCTCACTCACCACAACCTGGACACGACACAAACACACACGTCCAAATCATTTTACAGCACCAGAACCAGACCAGGGACTTTCCGAACCAGGACTAAGGAGCCGGGAGCGTGCCGTCGCCCTCTGGTGGAAGGAAAGTCCATGAATGAAAGGAGTGTATGAATTTATTACATTATCTGAAAAGGGTGATTCATCCTCTCTCTACACTCGCTATTTCTGGTCTCTCTCTAGGTGGTCTTTTTCTCTCTCTGGTCTCTCTCTAATCTCTATATCTCTGGCCTCTCTCTCTAGTCTCTCTCTCTGGCATTTCTCTCTGGTCTCTCTCTATGGCCTCTCTCTCTGGGCTCTCTCTCTGGTCTCTCTCTAATCTCTCTCTCTCTGACTCTCTCTCTCTCTCTCTCTCTGGCTTCCTTCTCTGGTCTCTCTAGCAATAGGTTTTATTGTTAGTAACTTTTAGAATGATGTGTTTATATGTTTGTCTGGATGGATGCTTTTAGGGCAATCAATAAAATGCCCATCTATGTATCTATCTCTCTATCTAATGCTACTAAAACTTGTCTGCACAGTAGAGTAGAGTAGAGTAGGGTAGGGTAGAGTATTGTAGAGTAGAGTATAGTAGAGTAGAGCTGGTGGAAACAGGGCTATCGTGGCACACATATCTGCTCTGGTCATCTCTAACCCGTTTGCCCTGGACACTCTTACTGTCTCCGTGATTGTTCTAAAAGCGTCCTCTCCTTTAATTCCCTCTCGGACCAAAGTGAAACCTGAAGAATGGCGTCGTGCCGGCTGTCAGCTTCTTAAAGGGGCGCCCTCTGGAACATTGTACAGTTTGTGGAGGTCTCTTTACTCTACTGTAAGAACGGCTCTGCTCTGTGTCACTGTCTGAGACCAGGAACATGACACCAGCTGTAAACACCAGCGTTCAAAGCACAAGACGGAGACTGAGGAGGAAAAGCTCGTTATCAGCGTTTAAAGCAGAGGTTTTAAGAGGAAGGAGTCTGGTTGGAGCTGATGCCGCATAGAAACTAAACTGTTTTCAAACTTCTATCCTTTGTGTATGTGTTTATCTGAGAAAAGACAAATATGACAATATATGGAACCAACGAGCGGTATATTTGGTAAATTCTTTGGTAGTATAAGTTATATGCGTTTTTTCTGTACTGTCAAGGACCTGGTGATGTTTTAAAATCCATCCTCACTCTGCCCTCTCTGGTATCTCTCTGACCTCTCTCTCTGGTCTCCCTCTTTAGTCTCTCTCTGGTCTCTCTCTTTGGTCTCTCTCTGGTCCCTCTCTCTGGTCTCTCTGTGGTAAAGGTAAAGGTGCAGTTTATTAATCCCCGTAGGGCAATTCATCCTCTGCATTTGATTCATCCTGATGCCGCTAAGGCTTACGTCAGGAGCAGTGGTCGCCGTAGTAATAGAGCCCAGGAACCCATCTCCAGATGTTGTGATGCTCGGCTTGGTCAGGACTACCAGAGCTGGAGGATTTGCATGTTTTTAGTCGTAGGGGAAACCGGAGTACCCGGAGGAAACCTACGCAAGCACGGGGAGAACATGCAAACTCCACTTAGAAAGACCTTGTTCAGACCGGGATTCGAACCACCTTCCTGCTGTGAGGTGAGAGTGCTATCCACTCAGCCACGTGCTGCGCTTTCTCCATGATCTCTCTCTGATCTCTCACTAGTCTCTCTCTAGTCTTTCTTCTGTCGTAGACATGTATTGACAATTCTCCAACATGAACCATGAACCTATGATCCCCTGGTCCTGGAGCCTCGTACCTGTCCCTCCCCAACACTATGGGTGTCGATGATGGTCACGACACCAGGAATGAGGGGACTGCGGCGAGAGGGACAGTGAGGACTCCCCTCCTCATCAGGGGTCCCAGCGGGGATCGTCCCGGCCAGCTGTGTCACCACCTTTCCCACCATGGTCAGGCCGGTCTTCAGTGTCTGAGGAGAGAGAGTGAACAGAGAGTGGCCGTTTAAAGCTGAGGCATGTAAATTTAAAACCACAACAAAGTAAATATGTATTTAACTAGCTACTCACACTTCGACTTCAAAAGCGTCAGGTTTGCATTGAAAATGACTGGTGAAGCGCGTCAGGAGCTTCAAGCACCAAGGGGCATTCACACCAGTTTTCATCACTAGTCTTCATGCGCATGTATCTTTGGCCTCTGTAACATCTTTGCCTCTTTCTGGTCTCTCTCTGGTCTCTCTCTAGTCGCTGGCCTCTCTCTGGTCTCTGCCTGGTATCTCTCCAGTCTCTGACCTGGTTTCTCCCTAGTCTATCTCCTGCCTCTCTCTAATTTCTAAAAAAGTTGTTTATAAGTGATGACAATATTCAAAAACACAAAATACTTGTGTGTGAGAGAAGTTTCACTGGTGTGTAGTGTTCCTAAAGCTGTGTGTGTTTCTGCACTGAGCACTTGTGTAGCGATTGGTTCGTCTCTGATTAGCAGAGCGGCTCCAAGGGCTGAGTGCTCGTCCTCAAGTGTGTGAGTGTGAGGAGTTAGAGTCTGTGTGTGTGTGTGTGTGTGTGTGTGTCCGTGAGTGTGTCCGTGAGTGTGAGAAGAGTTAGAGTCTCTTCTTCTTCAGATACTGCAGCTGTGATGACCCATCGCTGTCTCTGTGCTGAGGTCACCTGCAGCCACTTGCACCTGTGTCTGAGTGTGTGTGTGTGTGCGTGTGTGTATGTGTGAGTGTGCTTGTACATGTGAGTGTGTGTGTGTGTGTGTGTGCGTGCATGCTATGAGTTATTGTAATCATTCTCTTTATTTTCATGCATAAAGATGCAGGGTATGTAAACGATGGGCACACAAGACTGTGTAACCCCCACGGTGTGTGTGTGTCTCTCTCTGTGTCTTTATGTGTGTGTCTCTGTGTGTGTGTGTGTCTCGTGTGAGTGTCCAGAGTCCGGCCTGGTGTCTGCCTCAAACACACCTCTGTGCTGGTGGAACAGGATAGTGCTGCTTAAGTGGAGTCTATCTCACCTCCTCAGTGTCTTGGGCTAATGGAGTGAGTGTCTGTCTGTGAGTGAAGCGCCAAAGGGGCCCCGGAGCCTCATCAGTGTGTGTGTGTGTGTGTGTGTGTATATGTGTGTTCCTCATCAGGCATTCAGCCTCGTCGATACAGTGTGGCGCCGCCTCTGTCTCTACACTCGCACTAACGCGTCTGAGCAGCGCCTGTGTAAAGTGCCAGAGAGGCATCAATTATTAAGCCAGGCGTTTGGCTCCTAATTGATCAACACTAATGTGTTTTGTAATCACTGCAGTTGTGCACTTCTTAGTGAAGTCCAAACCAATCGATCGATCGCTGCAGGAGGAGGCGTCGCCAGATAAACAGATTAGAGCAGATTTATGTGAGGTGGTCTTAGTCAGCGCAGCAGAGCCACGCGCCTGATGCCCTGCCAGAGGGAGTGTGCCATCGAGACACGCTTTTATCTGCTCCATTACTCTTAATGCTGCCGTCTGAGGACACAGCAGCGGGTGGCGCCGCAGCAGGAGATACATGTCACACATATGGAGATATATGGCTCAGAGGAGCGTGGCCAGCAGACTGACTGTCTGCACGTCAATACCTCTGTGTCCAGGGCTCCAGGCCGGCTCCAACAGAGGCTCCAGGAGGGGTGAGATACAGGGTCTGAGAGCGGCTGAGAGCGACTGAGGCTCTAGGGGAGGCTGAGGCTCCAGGAGAGGCTCCAGGCTCTAAGGCAGAGGCTGTGTGAGGCTGAGGCTCTATATGAGGCTAGAGTCCAGGTCTATGTGAGGCTCCAGGACCCAGGAGGGACTGAGGCTACAGTAGTGTCAGGCTGTGCGTGAGACGGAGGCTGAGGCTGTATGTGAGGCCCCTCCAGGCCCACAGACAGTGAGGCTTCAGTGTCTCCTGGCCCACAGACTGTGAGGCTCTGTGAGGTTCTGCTGTTAGCACTGGTCCCTCACACTCAGCTCAGATCACAGACTCCTCAGACTCCTCAGTGTCTGTGAGCGGCTCCTGATGAACTGAGAGGAACACTCTGATGAAGTGTCTCCAGCTAGGAGCATCTCTGAGGAGGGAGGCAGCAGTGTGTGGGGGGGAGAGGACAGTGTCAGAGAGGGGAGAGGACATGCGAGAGGGGGGGCGAGTGTGAGGGGGGAGAGCCATGAGACAGGTTCTGGTGAATGTTAGACAAGTCTTTCCATGGCCTCGTTCTAAAGTACATCTGTGACATGTTAGTGCCAAATGAACCAACTCCTGGCCTCCTGCTGGGACTCTGATTATTCATGACTTTCACTTCTTGTGTGATTGCTTCTACCTTGTTGAGTTCATAGTGTATCAACCATGCCTCTATCTCCACACTCACTTTGGCCGCGTTGATGACAGAGGCCGTGTAGGACTGAGCGTTGTCCCCACACGCTCCTCCTCTGGACTGATGACATCGGATCAGCTGCGGAAACATAAAAATGCTCATTCCCTCTTGGCTCTCTCCAAAAGCACAGTCTGTCCAGCTCTTAAGAGAAACACAATAGCAATCAATAACCCTTTCCCCAAATCACTCCGAGAAATCATGCCATAACTTTAAGAACGACACGGCGGGACCATCTGCCAATTACTCCAGCGAGCCATCTCCAAATTGTGGCTTAAATTGAATTGTAAACGGTTGGTAAATACTTAGAAATCTCATTATGTGAAGTCTGGGGCCGGTTTTTATTTTAGAAGCGCTCTCAGCTCAAGTGGATAGACTCTTAAAAATGAACTGTTCTTATTTCTCCCACAGACAGATTAAACACACAATGCATTTAAGTGGATTGTAAATAAGGCCATAGGCAGATAAACCCGATGGCATGAGATGGACTCATTCTCAGCCTGTGTTTTAAAAAAAAAAAACAGGGACTGCTCTGGTCGCTCTCTGGCCTCTCTCCCTCTAGTCTCGCTCTGGCGTCTCTCTGGTCTCTCTCTGGTCTCTCTCTCTAGCCTCTCTCCCTCTAGTCTCTCTCTGGCGTCTCTATCTGGAATTGCTCTCTCTGGTCTTTTTCTGGTCTCTCACTAGTCTCACTCTAGTCTCTCTCTGGTCTCTCTTGCTGGTCTCTCTCTCTGGCCTCTCTCCCTCAAGTCTCTCTCTGGAATTGCTCTCTCTGGAATTGCTCTCTCTGGAATTGCTCTCTCTGGAATTGCTCTCTCTGGTCTCTCACTAGTCTCACTCTAGTCTCTCTCTTTGGCCACTCTCTCTATGGTCTCTCTCTGACCTCTCTCTCTGGTCTCTCTCTGGCCTCTCTCTCTCTGGGCTCTCTGTCTGGTCTTTTTTTCTCTGGTCTCTCTATGGTCTTTCTCTGCCCTCTCTCTCTCTCTGGTCTCTCCCCTTCTCTGGCCCCTCTCTATGGTCTCTGTCTCTGAAATATGCTTAATAAATATCAGGATTTTAGCATGATCATATACTACATCTTGGAAGAGTAAGCAGCAGGGTTTCCATCATGATCCGTGTGTTTTACTGTGTGCTCTACAACTGTTGTGTTTCTATCATTTGGTAAAGGCCTATAATTATAAAAAATAGCGGTTAAAAAAAACACTTTCTTCAAGGAGTGAACATTAAAGGGTGAAGACCATGTAGAAAAAGGACTAGTAATTGCTTAATTAATACTAATTAAGAGATATTTAAGCCCAATTATACACCATTTTAGCACTTTATTAGCTGTTAATTAATGAGGGCTATAGTATATAAAGTATATAATTTGTCTTTCTTTCTGCGAAGGAGCTACAAGCATCATGATGCATCAGACTCCTGTGTGACAGTCTGTGTTTTCTGGATCTGTCCCTTCTCAGATAAACTAGATAACTGTTAAATGAATAAATAATTGTACATTTAGGAACTGAGTAGGAGGATAGGACTGCGTTGGAACAGTCTGAATGCAGTCTCTGTTTTCATGATAAGAATCAAATATTTGTGGATTTGTCTCATGTTTTGGTGTTAGGGGTATTTATGTTCTCATTCATGTGTAGTATTTTGTAACACAATAAAAATATATACCATCGACTGTATATAGACAGACAACGCTAACGCTAGCTAAATGAAGCCTAATAGGGAAGTGCTCAAGGTGAAGTTTGCCCCCTCTCTCTTTTACTTACATATAAAAGTAAACTCCTCTACCTCAGTAAATGTTTGTCACATTCACATTTTTTGGCTTAAATCTGTGGTTTAGAGCTCTCTGTGATCCTGGTGTTTATAGTGTGATGCTGTCTTTGCAATTCATTTGCGGGGGAAACTCCAGCTTGCATTAGCAACACGGGCAGAAGTCAGCTCATATTAGGAAATTGGCTCCATCTAGCCTGTGTTCAAATCAGCCTCTTCTGCATTAAAGCTAACACACTCAGTCAGTCCATCCCTAATGTAAACCTTAGTGTGGACTATAAAGTGGACTATAGAGCGGACTGTAGAGTTGGTGATTGTGTTTTCCACCTTGTTCTCTGCATATGCGAGCCAGCGGCTGCCCAGAGCGATGGGGTTCAGACTGGGACCAGGACACGGGAAGCAGCCTGAAAACACAGTACAGATGAGAAGAAGGGTCATAATCAGAAGTTCTGGTTTCTCTCTCTTTTTTTCTTGGAGCTGTTAGACCCAGAAGGACAGGGTTTGATCTACAGCTTGAGTCCTGGATCTACAGCCTCAGTCCTAGATCTACAGCCTCAGTCCTAGTTCTAATGCCTCAGTCCTGGATCTACAGCCTCAGTCCTGGATCTACAGCCTCTTGTCCTGGATCTACAGCCTCAGTCCTGGATCTACAGCTTCAGTCCTGGATCTACAGCCTCAGTCCTGGATCTACAGCTACTGTCCTGGATCTACAGCTTCAGTCCTAGATCTACAGCTTCAGTCCTGGATCTACAGACTTATATTCTTGCTATAAAGCCTAGCGTACATCGACAGAGAAACTGGGGACAACTAGTTGCAAGGCGGCTTTTGGCAACTGAGAGGAGATGGTGGGAGATGATCAGTTGCCGAAATCGGTCGATGTGCGCGCTCTTACAACTGGAGATGATCAGTCGGTCTCCAGTTTCAGTCAGTTGCCCGTGTTCTACTTTTCGGCAACTAGTTGTCCTCAGTTTCGGAGATATGACCCGATGTGCGCGCTCCATGCGCCGCTCCGACAACGTGTGTGTATTGCATGTGTTGCGAGCCCGCAACAGTTTATGTCAGAAAACACACTATAGTTGAGGCCAGTTGCTGTCGATGTACGCGCTGTTATTCCCGAGACTGGTCTGCTACTGGGAGTTGCCCGTTTTCGTCAGATTGTCGATGTGTGCGGGGCAGCAACTCATATGCGACGGATATAATCAGTTGCCAGTCCGATGTACGCTAGGCTTTAGACACAACAGACTGATTCTAGGCAAAGTTCTGAATGCTCTATTGTCTTTCAGGAGATAAAAAACAAATCTGGGTCAGTTTTTCATGAGGAAAAAAGCTTATTTACTACTTTACAAGATTATTATCTTGTAAAGTAGTAAATAAGCTTTTTAAGTGTGTCTCAAAATCATGCATAATACATCTTTAAAACTGTCCACAGATTTGTCAATGTCTACAGCTCCCAAAGTCTTTCCGTGTTTGAGGCCCCCCTGAGGTCTGTACCCTGGAGAAAGAGAAACTATCTTAAAGCATTAGCGAGTTTTTAATGTGTTTGAGTGAAGATAAATGAGGCTTAATGAGCGCGATGACCTCATGCAGACAGTGGCACCAGGAAATGGCCCCCGGCACCTGCGGTGAGACCAGGGACAGTGTTCAGAGAGGGGCCACAAGAGGAACTGAGTCTGTGAGTGAGGCTGAAGACGGATGGGTTTTTTCACAGCTTTGGGTTGAGTTGTAGCTGTTTATTATTCTCTCTCTCTCTGCTCTCCCTGGTCTCTCGCTCTGGTCTCTCTCTCTCTGCCCCCCCCCCCTGGTCCCTGTGGATTAAATCTGATCTGTTTGGTTCCTATCTGGACTCTCTCTTTCTCTGGTCTCTTTCTGGTCTTTCTCATAACAACATACTCTTTAAAGGCTTTGAAGTGGTTTAGGGATGTAAATAATGACGAGTTGACTATTATTTTTATCATATGAGATATTAGAGAAAGACCAGAGATAGAGACCAGAGAGAGACCAGAGAGAAAGACCAGAGATAGAGACCAGAGAGAGACCAGAGAGAGACCAGAGAGAAAGACCAGAGAGAGACCAGAGACAGAGACCAGAGAGAGACCAGAAAGGGACAAGAACGAGAGACCAGCGCGAGAGACCAGAGCGAGAGACCCAGGCGAGAGACCAGAGCGAGAGACCAGAGTAACAGACCAGAGTGAGAGACCAGGGCGAGAGACCAGGGCGAGAGACCAGAGCGAGAAACCAGAGTAACAGACCAGAGTGAGAGACCAGGGCGAGAGACCAGGGCGAGAGACCAGAGCGAGAAACCAGAGCAAGAGACCAGAGCGAGAGACCAGGGCGAGAGACCAGGGCGAGAGACCAGGGCGAGAGACCAGGGCGAGAGACCAGGGCGAGAGACCAGAGTGAGAGACCTGAGACAGAGACCAGAGAAAGAGTCACATTGTGGACAAGTTTACGACAAGTTTCTCATATTTTGCACAACTTTATAAAAGAAAGAGCGGCACGAGCAACAAACCAAACTCTGACTCTCAGCTTCACACACCCAAACACAGCTTCACGGCTCGTCAAGCTGTCGTTATAAACAGTATTGTCCCTATTTTGACCCGTGTGAAGTGTTAAAACCTTCTCTCCCTGAGCCACATGAGCACAGTGGCCTAGAAAACAGCTCCCTTTTATCTCGTCTTAATTACAGCTTTACTTGTCGACAAGGGGTTTCTCTCAGTGGGAATGAGGCTTTTGTGCTTTTTGTGCTTTTGGTGCTTTTGTCTCTCTGCTCTGATCTCCCAGGCTGCACTGCTCCCTCTGACCCTCACATCTGCTTGAGTGGGATCAGAAATCCTCCCTCTGTTTGCTCATCACATTATCAAAACCTATTTTTATTTCCCATCGCACTCTGATATGTGTAAATGGTACAGGTTTTGGTCGGACTGGAGCAAGAGAGAGTGGAAACGAGGGATGCCCCTGTGGTGTCCCTATAGAGAGAGACTAAAGAGAGAGACAGACAAGAGAGAGGGGGACTAAAGATTGAGAAAGAGAGAGATAGCAAGAGAGCAAGAGAGAAAGAAAGACAAGAGAGCGAGAAACTAGCGAGAAAGACCAGACAGAGAGAGACGAGAGAGAGAGAGAGACTAGAGAGGGATAGACAAGGAGCACAAGAGGCTGGAGCAAAAGACTAGAGAGAGTAGAGAGAGACTAGAAAGGGAGACCAGAGGAAGAGAGAGTAGAGGGAGAGACCAGAGAGAGAGACCAGACAGAGAGGGGCGAGAGAGAGAGAGGGGCGAGAGAGAGAGAGACGATAGAGCGAGAGACTAGAGAGGGATAGACGAGAGACAGCAAGAGGCTGGTGCAAAAGACTAGAGAGAGACTAGAGAGTGAGACCAGAGGGAGTGAGAGTAGAGAGAGAGACCAGAGAGAGAGACTAGAGAAAAGGAGATGAGAGAGAGCAAGGGACTAGAGAGAGATAGACCAGTTAGGAACCAGACAGATTGAGACCAGAGTGAGACCAATAAGAGAAAGACCAGAGAGAGAGACCATTGTGTTGTTATCAGTTCCCAGGTTCTCACACACACATGTTGATGGTGTAGTTTGTCCTGTGCCACTTCTCTCTGCTCATTTCCCTCCGATTCGACCTTTTCGGATCCTCGTCCCATTAGTTTGAATTGAGTTATTTTTCCTCCGGCTCAGACATCTGTCATTGGGAGTGTGTCTAGTGGCTCCCGAAAGGACACACGAGCTGTTTTTCTACCAACAAAATTACATCTTAGCGCGTAGCAGACATGTGCAAAAACACTGCAGGGATGTGATGCCTAAGTATACGTCCCTGTGCCGTGTGTGGTTTTGTCGCACTAACGTTTTACTGCTTCTAATTTGGGCGTTTAGGAGATGGGACGTTGTAGATTTGACCCAGGAGAAAGTTCAGCTTGTGTAATTATAGCCATACAAACACTGGGGTTGCCATGACAGAGACTAACAAGCCAATAATATGAATAGAAAGGAATAATTGGAGTATGTTAATTAGCTACTTTTTGCGCAGTAATGACATTCGGGAGTATTATCTGAATTTCAAGTGTTGATTTTTGCATTATTTCACATATGCAGTATCATCCTATATTATCAATTGGCAATGCTTGGCTAAGGATATAATGATGGGATTAACCAGGACCAGAGAGCAAATAAAGAGCAGAGAGAGACACACAAGAAAGAGAAACCAGCGAGAGAACAGAGAGAAGAGAGGGTGACCAAAGAGAGACAAGAGAGAGATCACAGAGATAGACCTGAGAGAACAAAAAAGACCAGAGGACGACAATAGAGAGACCAGAGAGACAATAGAGACCAGAGGGAGGCAAGAGAGAGACCAGAAAAGTAGACCAAAGAGAGGCCAGAAAGACCAGAGAGGTAGATCAGAGAGAGACCAGAGAGGTAGATCAGAGAGAGACCAGAGGGAGACAAGAGAGAGACCAGAGAAGTAGACCAAAGAGAGGCCATAGAGACCAGAGAGGTAGATCAGAGAGAGACCAGAGAGAGAGACCAGAGAGGTTGACCAGAGAGAGACCAGAGAATGAAGCAAAAACGTCCTCCTTAACACAGAGCAGTTGTTGAAGTCTCTGCATGTTTACATCCTCAGCCTCAGATCTTCCTTAAGTTTCTCCAGTCCGAGGCTTGTCTCTGGTGCGGAGATAAAACTGAAGTGATTCATTCAAGTCTCCAAACATCAGAGTCCTTTGTTTACGACTGGTACCTCCCAAACCACATTATAAGGAGCAGGGCGATTAATAACGGTATCTTTCGGGGCCTGTTTGTGCTCTGTGGTCCAGACGCAGATGGGGGAAGAGGAACAGACGCATTACGCACACATGCAGAAGGTCAGCTTACAGCAGCGGACGCCTTTAAGTGGACGCCATGGCTCTGTAATACGCCGTGGCCTTTTCCCTCAACAACATCCTCGAGACCAAATGTCGCCCGCAGAGAGAGAAAGCACAGGAGCAGGAGGATGTGGTGTGAGGAGGAGAGAGGTTTGCGACGGTTCATGTAGATAATATCGAAGTTACAAGATGATAACAGCTGAATATGGCTGTTTATGTCTGTTCGTATGAGGCTCTTTGGAATGAGACGCGGCTTTCATCGACTGCAGTGATGTTTGTATGGACATGTTTCTATCTGAATTTATAAGTACAGGCAGCATTCAGGGATCATACTTTATAAGTATTGTTTCTGTCCCTGCTTTAGTCCCAGCTTCAGTCCTTCTATGCCAGTAAGCTCACATAGAGACCAGAGAAAAACCAGTCTCTGCCTCAGTCTCTGCCTCAATCTCTGCTTCAGTCTCTGCTTCAGTCTCTGCTTCAGTCTCTGCCTCAGTCTCTGCCTCAGTCTCTGCCTCAGTCTCTGCTTCAGTCTCTGCTTCAGTCTCTGCTTCAGTCTCTGCTTCAGTCTCTGCCTCAGTCTCTGCCTCAGTCTCTGCCTCAGTCTCTGCCTCAGTCTCTGCCTCAGTCTCTGCTTCAGTCTCTGCCTCAGTCTCTGCCTCAGTCTCTGCCTCAGTCTCTGCCTCAGTCTCTGCCTCAGTCTCTGCCTCAGTCTCTGCTTCAGTCTCTGCCTCAGTCTCTGCCTCAGTCTCTGCTTCAGTCTCTGCTTCAGGCTCTGCCTCAGTCTCTGCTTCAGTCTCTGCCTCAATCTCTGCCTCAGTCTCTGCCTCAGTCTCTGCCTCAGTCTCTGCCTCAGTCTCTGCCTCAGTCTCTGCATCAGTCTCTGCATCAGTCTCTGCCTCAGTCTCTGCTTCAGTCTCTGCCTCAGTCTCTGCCTCAGTCTCTGCCTCAGTCTCTGCTTCAGTCTCTGCTTCAGTCTCTGCTTCAGTCTCTGCCTCAGTCTCTGCCTCAGTCTCTGCCTCAGTCTCTGCCTCAGTCTCTGCCTCAGTCTCTGCTTTAGCCTCTGCATCAGTCTCTGCCTCAGTCTCTGCTTCAGTCTCTGCTCTAGTTTCTGCTTCAGTCTCATCTTTAGTCTCTGCTTTTGTCCCGCTTCAGTAGTTAGTCCTTGTTTAGTTAATCAGTCCTGCTTCAGTTCTCCTTTGCCTTATCTCCTGCTTTAGCCCTGATCCAGTCCTGGTCCAGTCCTGGCCTAGTCCTGGTCCAGTCTCGTCCGTGACACAGAAAAGCTGGTTCTGCTTTGATAGTTGGCGCCGCGGTGGTTGTTGGACGTGGTGTGAAGAGACGGTGTTTACAGAGCGACACAAGAGTCTGAGAGACCTCCCCTCAGACTCTGAACCACAGTCCTGGGTTCTCATCTAAACAGAGGAACATTAGCCGTTTGGAAAGAGCAAATAGTAGTTTTTCACAAGGACGTTTCTGAACAGAGATGAGTGTTTGAATGGTCTGTTTACTCTTCTGTTAAAACACAACAGTTTAGAAACAGAGAAATTAGACAGAAGGTGCGGGGAGATGTTCCATAACACCCTGATATTTGAGTGAAATGTGAACATATTTCTTGTCCGGGTACTTTCTATAGTATATATTGCATGTTACAACTACTCTACTCTGCCCTACTCATTCTCCAGCTCTGGTCTCTGGTGTCCTGGTCCTGGTCCCGTGGTTCAGTCCTCTGTGCCGTTGTTTATCCCAGTGTCGACAGTCTGACACCACACGTCACAGTCGCTGCATCAGGACTCTGGAATCTGGATGTTATTTGTGAAGCTGAGGCCTAAATCACAAGAGCTACTCTCTTAGAAGACTCCAGGAGAGACCAGAGAGAGAGACTAAACTGTACAAACTGGACAGAACTGAAGACAGACGTAAAGAAGAAATATTATGCATTATTTTCGGCCTGTAAAGACTGTTTTAATTTCTTATGAATGTGACATAATATCTTCAGTGAAAAATATTGTATGTGGTGAAATAATTGAGGAAGGTGGAAAATGAGAGAGACCAGAGAGAGAGAGCAAAGAAGATGAAACCAGAGAGATATTAGAGAGATACTCGAGAGAGAGTGAGACAGAGAGAGAGAGACCAAAGTCCATTACAACTTATCATTCCTTCTCGTCGGTCCGGTCTTTCGCCTCTTGATGTTATCATATATCCTTATTATATTATTCCAGAGTAAATGATGTGAATTGAGAGAAATCACACTGAGCAGTGAGGAAGAATCAGAGAAAATGGAAGAATTTTGCAGAATGTCTCCTTGTATTTGACTGGATTTCCCCTGCAGCTCTCTGAGTCGTTTAGTGACTCCCACGGCTCTTCCTCACAAGTATTTACATGAACAGAGTCGAGCTTTATGCACAGAGCTGTGTTTACGATACAGTCTCAGCCCAGAGCAGCTTCTCAAAGGAAAACACAACCAGTAACATATTGTCTCTTCAATCATCAAACAAACCAAAAGTAGCCGTAACTCTCCGTGATGTCTCTCTCTCTCTGGTGTCTCTCTCGCTCTGGTGTCTCTCTCTCCGGTCTCTCTCTCTTGTCTCACTCTTGTCTCTCTGGTTTCTCTGGTTTCTGGTCTCTCTGACATATCACTCTCTATGGTATCCTTTTCTCGTACTCTCTCTGGTACCTCTGATGTCTCATTTTCTGGTAACTCTGATGTCTATCTTTTTGGTACCTCTGATGTCTCTCTTTCTGGTACCTCTGATGTCTCTCTTTCTGGTACCTGTGACGTCTCTTTCTGGTACTTCTGATGTCTCTCTTTATGGTACTTCTGATGTCTCTCTTTCTGGAAACTCTGATGTCTCTCTTTCTGGTACCTGTGATGTCCATCTTTCTGGTAACTCTGATGTCTCTCTTTCTGGTACCTCTGATGTCTCTCTTTCTGGTACCTCTGATGTCTCTCTTTCTGGTAACTCTGATGTCTCTCTTTCTGGTACCTGTGACGTCTCTCTTTCTGGTACCTGTGACGTCTCTCTTTCTGGTACTTTTGATGTCTCTCTTTCTGGCACTTCTGATGTCTCTCTTTCTGGAAACTCTGATGTCTCTCTTTCTGGTACCTCTGATGTCTCTCTTTCTGGTAACTCTGATGTCTCTCTTTCTGGTACCTCTGATGTCTTTCTTTCTGGTACCTCTGATGTCTCTCTTTCTGGTACCTGTGACGTCTCTCTTTCTGGTACTTCTGATGTCTCTCTTTATGGTACTTCTGATGTCTCTCTTTCTGGTACCTCTGATGTCTCTCTTTCTGGAAACTCTGATGTCTCTCTTTCTGGTACCTGTGATGTCTATCTTTCTGGTACCTGTGATGTCTCTCTTTCTGGTAGTTCTGATGTCTCTCTTTCCGGTACCTATGATGTCCCTCTCTCTGGTACCTCTGATGTCTCTCTTTCTGGTACCTGTAATGTCTATCTTTCTGGTACCTGTGATGTCTCTCTTTCTGGTAGTTCTGATGTCTCTCTTTCTGGTACCTCTGATGTCTCTCTTTCTGGTACCCCTGATGTCTCTCTTTCTGGTACCTCTGATGTCTCTCTTTCTGGTACCTCTGATGTCTCTCTTTCTGGCAGTTCTGATGTCTATCTTTCTGGTACCTCTGATGTCTCTCTTTCTGGTACCCCTGATGTCTCTCTTTCTGGTACCTCTGATGTCTCTCTTTCTGGTACCACTGATGTCTCTCTTTCTGGCACCTCTGATGCCTCTCTTTCTGGTCCCTCTGATGTCTCTCTTTCTGGTCCCTCTGATGTCTCTCTTTCTGGTCCCTCTGATGTCTCTCTTTCTGGTACCTCTGATGTCTCTCTCTCTGGTACCTCAGGCAGTACTGCGCTGAAGTCTTCAATTTGACCCTGTTGCTATAGAATGGGCTGAAACGTCGACGCAGGTCCAAATAACATGCCTACCTTTCCCACTCTTAGATTTTTTCCAGAGACGTGTGGCTGTAAAGTCTTTCCACTCACTTGTCACAAAGAACTTCTTGGTGAAGGAGCAGCTGTCGAAGGCGGCAATCTTCTCCTGCAGACTCACCACCAGGACACTGCGACCAAACAGATGGAAGTCTCAAGGAACCAACGGGAACAACAGGGCTCTTTCTGGTCTCTCTCTCTCTCGCTGGTTTCTCTCTCCCTGGTCTGTCTCTTGGGTCTCTCACTCTGGTCTCTATCTCTAGTCTATCTGGTCTATGTGGTCTCTCTTTTCACTCCCTGGTCTCTCTCTCTCTCTCTCTGGTCTCTTCATCTTGACGCTCTTTCACTGCTCTCTCTCTCTGGTCTCTTTCTCTGCTCTCTCTGGTCTTCCTCTGCTCTCTTTCTGCTCTATCGTCTCTTTTTCTCTGCTCTCTCACTTGTCTCTCTTTCTCTGCTCTCTCTCATGTTGCCCTTTCTCTGCTCTCTCTCTGGTGTCTTTCCGCTCTATTGTCTCTCTTTCTCTGGTCTCTCTATGCTCTTTCTCTGCAGATAAAAATGACTGAACGTTGTTGTACTGTTTGTTGCAGTGCAGGTCGTAGATTGGAGTCTTGAACTGAATAGATTTGACCATTTCTCCGGTTCTGAGAGAGTAGAGGTCGGCACAGCAGTAAGGAGGACTGGTCCTGCACAAACACACAGATAAAGATTTACACAGTTAAGAAATTATTACAAATTTAAAGATTTACTTTCAGAAGGAACGTAAGAAGTGTCAATTATAATCAAGATAAATCTATATCTGATGTGTGTGACTGTAAATGGGATTGAATTATCTGTAATTCCTTAAAAAAAAACAAAGAAAGACTATACAACAACATCAACAAAACACACTGGAGCTGCAAGATTTATTTAGTCCTTCCCTAGTCTCTGCTTTACCTTTTCCTAAAATGACTTCCTCCTTAAAAAAGTGAATAATTATAGTTCAAAAACACATTTCTCTTGTGACTGGCCTGGATTCACATTCTCCGATATCTTTGTGATCCGTGAGTTTCAGATTCAGAGTGATGACAAACAACTAATAAAAAGTCCAGTAATAAGATATTGTTCGTATCATACTAAAAACGTATTGTTCCGACCAGATTCACACCCACAAGTTAAAACGTCGTAGTAACAGACGACAACAAAGGCCTCGCGGACGCCCATGAGTCTATAAACTGCTAAAAGTGCTCTCTCTGCATATGCTCTCCTCGTTTGGGGTTATTCCGTGATCATTTTCCCTTTTTGGCTGCGATCTCAGAGTGAAAATGCATCGCTTTTATGAAGGCAACTAAACCGGGGCATCGGAAAAACCACAAGAGCCGAGGCGAGGGACGGAAAAGACGGAAATCTAGGAGGCCGAGAGCATAAGCGCACGGCCAAATAAAACGTATTTACAAGGAGAGACCGTCACCACGTTCTGAACCCGGGTGCGAGATTTTACAAGATTTCAGAATAAAGATGATTACATGCGCTGGAAATGCTAAACAAATTGTGGGTTTATAGGAAATGGGTGAAGTGGGAAGCTGCCAGAACGCTGAGAAAGAAGAAGAGAGAAAAATAAAAAGCACTTTCAAATGATAATAAGAGATTTGGACAGAGTCTATATACAAAGACTACGGCCAAGTTTTGGAAGAGCCGGGTCCAGGGCACTGAACCAAGGGTTTGAGGCTTGTCAGCGAAAAATATGTGTATACAAGTTTTTTAAATAAGCAATGAGAAAGTGGTAACAAACTAGTGACGGACGACAGTAGGAGAAGATAATAAAGCACTCGTAGAGCGCAGACCTACGCCAGCAGGCACATTACCATAGATATGTAATGAATTTTCTCCATCCCATTTTGGTCTCTGATCTCTCTGGTTTCTCTTTTATATCTTTCTAGTCTCTCTCTTCCTGGTCTCTCTCTCTCTCTCTCTCTGGTCTCTCTCTCTTTCTGGTCTCTCTCTGGTCTCTCTCTCTCTAGTCTCTCTTTCCCTGCACTCTATCTGGTCTCTTTGCCTGGTCTCTCTCCCTGGTCTTTCTCTGGTCTCTCTTTGGTCTCCAATTCCAACATTATCTGAATTCTCAGTTAATGTAATAATGTATTTAAAGGTACACTGTGTAATTTCTAGTGCCTCTAGTGTTGATCTTATATTGCAGTCTCATATATTGAGATTTGAGTACGGGTGCCATAGAGCTAACGAGACTTTTGCCTATACTGCTTGACAGTGCTCCTCAACTGTCAGTCTTTCACCAGACTGCCAACGAAAGAATACTTTAGTTTGATAAACGACCGGATCTCTCCAAATGTCTCGGGCACTTGACAGACGCGTGGAGCCGACATGTAAACAAGACCTGTTCAGACACTAGCACCCTACACAGAGGCTCTACTGAGTTTTACCATGGGTCTGTTATAATATATAGTTTTACAAACGCGGTGTGAAGAGAAGAGATACATGGAGGAATAAAGTCTGTGTGAGGTTAAAACTGTGGTGATCAAAGAAGCAGGAGATATACACAGCAGCAGCAGGACATGGCAAAGCTCATGTTAGCATTAGCGTTAGCCACAGCGCCCTATCTGCATCACCAGGTAAGAAACAGAATGTTCACTCTCGCTGCTGATACATTATTCTGGCGATCGTTTTGTGGGGATTCTGTGTGTTTTATTTGATGCTTGTCCCTGAATAAGTTTAGTTGAAACTTGTGACATAGTAGTTGGACTGCGCTCGGATCGGGTCAGAACATCCTGAGACTGTGTTGCAGATTCTGCCTCGTACTTATTGTCAGTGTGAAAAAGTGACGTATTGTTCACGTGTGAGTCTGTTGTGTACAAAATACACAATGTACCTCCTGTTGTTAACGCTGTCTTTGTGCGTGTGGTTTGCGATGTTGACACTTCGCTGCTATGACGCTGGACTTCTACATAATTATTTATCTAAAAGATTGTTGTTCCGATCGTTCTTTTCCATAACTGTGGTCCTCTGTGGTTCTCTTATATAACTGTGGTCCTCCATGGTTCCTTCTTCCAAATTGTGAAGGCACGGTGAAATCAATATCAGTAGCTTATGTGAAACGAAAACGCGTTTCTCGCTTTTTGTCCTTATCCACCACCGGTTTTCAAGATGGCGCATTTACACGGATAGTCCTCCTCTCTCATGGACACTTATAAGTTCAATTCTAAGCCTATGAATACAATTAAAAAAACATGGTGGAGGTAAATATTCTTAAAAAGGTCACATTTGTTATTAGTTAACATGTTTTTTCACATGGAGCAGCTGTAAAAATTACACAGGGTGGCTTTAACATAAGCTCACGCAGAAGTCCAGGACATATTTTGACTTAAATTTGATACAATGTGCACAAAAACAAAAACACACTCAGGCTCTGACTGCTGCCTCAACAAATCGGCAACGGGCCAAGCGGAAGCAAATGGATAGATATTACACACTGCCCCTTTAAATGACACATTCAGAATCATTCTTCGTGTTGTTTTGCCTCTGCCAGCCTCCAGCGATCACATCCAGGGCTCTTTCAACAGTTTAAACTTGGCTCGAAGAGAGAAAATATGTGTGTAAAAGTTTTCAAACAACGTGACAGAATCGAAAGTCACACGTTTATGAGAGGAAACAGACTCTGGGGTTTGGTAAAGTAGTGTTGGACTTTGTAAACTCTCACAAGTGAAAGATTACATAAAGATGGCGCTGATTTTATGAAGGAAAAGAAGGTTCTGAAGCTCAAAGTTCCCAGAGTTGGTAATGGAACAACTTCAGACTCTGTTCATATCAGTATTTCAGCTTCACACAGCCTCCACTCTACTCTATTCTACAAGAGAGAGACCAGACCAGAGATAAACCAGAGAGAGACACCAACCAGTGAGAGACCAGAGAGAGATAGATCAGAGAGAGACTCGCGAGAAAGACCAGAGAAAGAGAGCAGAGAGGCCAGAAAGACAGATCCCAGAGAAAGACCATAGAGAAACCAAACAGTCCAGAGAGACACCGACCAGAGACAGACGAGAGAGACAGATACCGGAGAGAGACCAGAGACCCAGAGAGAGACCTTCTAGAGAGAGACCAACCAGAGAGAGAGAAACCAAAGAAAGACCAGAGAGAGACCAGAAAGAGAGGGATACCTGTGAAAGACCAGAGAGTACTCTACTCTACTCTTAACAGCCCGAACTGGTACTAAAGTGTTGTATATGACACTGATTGGCCATAGTGGGAGGTGCTCGTCCTGAAGTTTTGTTCCTATTCATTCTGGCTCCTATTGACTTCCACGTAAAAGTAAACTCTTCGGGCTCTAACTGTTTGTGTCACATTCACCATTTTGGGCTTAAAAAATCTGTGGTTTATCGCCCTCTGTGATCCTGGTGTTTATGTTGGGATATTGTCTTTGTAAATCCAGACATGAGTCATATAAGGATTGACCAGAGAGAGACCAGAGAGGGAGACAATTTCCCATAGAAAGGAAATTGGCTCCAGCTAGCTTATGTTCACATCGGCCTCTTCCTCATTAGGGCAAACACTATATGGTGACTCGATTGCATATTATTTTCCCACATCAACACATTCACTGAGGATTTATAATTTTGAACAGAAAATTTGACTTTTCAAGGCAATGATAATGACTTAGATTTACTACCATGATTTAAAACAAAAACCTGAAGACGAAGCCAGTAAAACACAATCGCCGAGGAGTCCCTGAACTCTCCCCAAACCTACACACGCACACGCACGCACACACACAGACATATGCACACACATACCTCTGCATGAAACCGGAGCCTGGTCTGTTGTTTTTATGTTTTGCTGCTCGTTCTGGCCTCTCGCACTCACGCACTCGCAGCCCTCTTCGCACACAACAAACGCAGGCCACATCAGAGGCGCAGAGGCCTGGAAGCAGCCAAGGCCAGAGCGTAACGAGGGTAAAAAGTTCACTCTCTGCTTCTCTCGCACATACATTACCATTAGAGCAGGGGGCACGCGGAGTCTAGGGGTCTGTAGGGTAATAATAGGCTCCTCAAGGCCTGGAACAGACACTGTATGTGAGTAACGGTGCGAGTGGCTGTGCATCTGGAAGAGTGTGTTTGGGAGAAAGAAAGTGTGTTTACTAAAGCGAGGGAACATTAGAGTGAGAGGGGTTTTACGGCTGGGTTCGGGACTGGTACATGGGGAGAAGAATGGAGGCAGAAGGACTGGATTACAAATGTACAGGCGCATTGAAGATGGGCTGTGTAGTCTAGACCAGAGAGAGCAAGAGCAGAAAGAGAGACCAGAGAGAGAGACCAGAGAGAGAGACCAGAGAGAGAGACCAGATAGAAAGACCAGAGACAAAGCAGGTCACTCACTTTCTGGTCTCTCTCCAATACTAAACTCCAAAACTTTAACTGAGAAGGAGCCAAAAATCGAGCCTGAGATGCCAGAAGCTCTACATTATCATAAATGTGTTACCATCGTTGGTATATGAGAAACTGTATAATTTGTCATCTTTGGACGTATTTTCACATTGTAATAGGGGTTAGGCAGTATAAGTTTCGACTTCAGCCTAAACCCTTTCGGTCAGGTATTGTTTCGCACAAGGTTCTTTTTTTCATTTTATTTTTTAAATTTTCTTGTTGTAAAAAGTAAATGTGATCTCTGTATCCGTGTGACCCGAGGTCAGGTGTAAATA